CTCACCCCAGTCACTTCTCCTCCAAGTGTGTTTCCCATGGGGGATATGAATGCAGAGTAAATGGTAGAGTAAAGCAAAATGCCACCTGAGTTTTGTTGAGAAGTGACCCAAATTCAGATATAGCTACTCTTAAAAACCTGGGACAGAGTACATGATTTAGGTTTATAAAGGTTTCTTTCCCTCCTTCCAGCTGAAACCTAAATATGATCCCTTTACCACCTTTGGTCTAGGGCATATGGGACAGGATAATGAAAAGATGAGAGTGCTGTGCTCACTAATGAGAAGTTATCTTACCTTCCCCTGGGTGGAAGGCACCCTCTGCCTATTACCACGGTTGTTAGATGGAAGGCGAAAGACAAAAGTTGGTGATCTGGTGGTCTGCTGGGCTTCTCTGTAGCTTAGAGGAAGGGAAAGGATAAAGCCAAAAGAAAACAAACAAACAAACAAACAAATAAACAATCAAGATGCTTCCAATTCAAGAGAAGATACTACCATGGAAAGGATAACTAAGCAGGGTGTGTAAGAACTTCAATAGCATCAGTAAAGGACCTCTCTTGGAGAGTGGAAGGTAGAAAGCTGAAGGATGAAGAACTCCTCCAAGGTGAGGGTAGAAACTTCTACTCCACTCTCTTCTAAATGCTTAAGACTACAATTTGTTGAGTCCTCATTAAATTAAGTTAGCTTTGACAATCTGTATATGTAGAACTAAACAAATATCCAACTACTGAGAATAAGCAAAGGCTATTTACCGCATTTTTAGACTATAAGACGCACCTCCCAATTTGAGAGGAAAATGAGGGTGCATCTTATAATACAAATGTAGCTTTACATTTACATTGGTGAAATATTATTTATGTTATTAATTATTTTACCACATTTTTTGCTTCAAAATTTCTTTTCCTATTTTCCTCTAAAACCTAGGGCGCGTCTTATGGTCCAAAAGATATGGTATTCACAGCATGTTATAGCCAGAGAGTCAGCCACCATCACTTGCATTTAGGCAGAGACTTAAAGGCAGGCAGAGGAGTGGGAGAGCTCTGTAGTGGAAAACAGAGAAGACTTCCTGTGTGCCCTGATTGGAGGCTCTTGGCCTGAGGAAGCTATAGGCAAGCCAACTACAAAATGCAGCATCATCCTATGTGATTGCTTAAGGGTACATATACATTTTTCTCTGGTAGGTCCTAAATTGGAAGTGGGGACAAAAATTAGGGAAGCTGTTTGTTACTAATAGTCTTTTTTGGTCTGATTGCTACAGAAGTTATTGATTGGCTTCCTGAGTTATTACTGGAGATAGCAGTCTGACATCCTACAGGTCTGACTCAGCAGGCTAGTTCCTGGGCTGCTTTTTGAAGATAAGGGGTTGGCTTCTTCGACAGATTGCTGCATATAGTGATTCAGTTCTATTTTTATATGTGGTTGGCCATTACCTGTTTGTATGCTCAATTTTTACTTACAATGTTGCTACCACTCAAAGAGTGATTCATGAACCAGCAGTGAGCTTGTAAAAAATGCAGAGTATCAAGTCCCTACTAGATCTTCAGAATCAGAACCTACCAAGTGATTTGTATGCAAATTAACACTTGGAAAACTCTGAGCCATAATTCACCCTCATTGTGCCACAAGCAGGCACTATCTCCATTTTAGTAACAAGGAAATCAAGGTTTAGATGGGTTTAATGACTGGCCTAGGCACGTCTAGTAAGTAACAGAGCTAGGACATGAACCTAGGTGACTTCCAAGCGCTAACTTTTATACTGAGTCTGGTGTAATCACTAACTTTTTAAAACAAAAGAAGGACTAATAAGTGTCATGGGGTATCACAGTACTGAGTACCTAGTAGGACTGCAAGGAAAATTCTTCTTAACAGGAAGCACTGGGCAATTAAATAAGGTGTCAGTGCAGACTTTCATAAATCTCGATCAGGGACATCAAGGTTAGTGATCATTGGACAGTGAAGGCTAGGGCATTCCTGCTATTACCAAGGAGACATCAGAGGGCCCTCATTTAAGCAGAGGTTGTTGAGATTTGATCTGCTACTTCCACCTTTTCATAGGAAACAAGTGGTATTAATAATCTATAATCATTATTCTTAAACAAGGCATAATCCTTTCACAGAAAATATAATTATGCAGATTGCAACAAAGGTAGAATTGTACAATATACATAAGACACCTGAATTCCTCCTCTGTCTGGAAATAATTCTTTAATCTTTTTTAACTCTATGTTTTAGGGCATAGAAAAGGACATGCCCTCAATGTTCCAGACAGTTAGAAAGTTGTAATTTTATGTCACCATTGAAACTGCCTCTTGGACTTCTGATCAATATGGTGGCATAGGTAGACACAGCTTGCCTCCTCACACAAGCACATAAAAATTACAACTAAACTATAGAACAGCCATCACTCAGAACCACCAGAAACTGAGTTGAATGGAAGTCTGGCAACTACAGAATTAAAGAATCCACATCAATCCAGAGAGATAAGAGAGGCAGGGATGTGGAACAGACTGGTTCCAAATCCACATGTGGTGGATAAAAATTGGGAAAGGATGTCTTGGGAGCAAGGAGACACAGCACCACACAAGGCCCCCAAACCTAGGTTACTAGTGCCAGGAATATAAGTCCCCATAAATTCTGGCTTCAAAAACCTGTGGGGATTGAATCAGGGGAAGAAACTTCTGGAGTTCCAAGCACTTCCTCTTAAAGAATTCACATGCAAACTTACTCAGACTTACTTCCTCTGAGCTCTAGCACCAGGGTAGCAGCTTGAAAAACATCAGTGGCACACAAGGATAAGCTGAAGTGTCTGACATCAAAGTGAAAGCTGGGGGACAACTCTCTTCCAGACAGAAAGGCCATCATCCTTTTTCTGAACCATCCCCTGACAAAGCCACAGAACTGGAAAACTGTACCATATCTGAGACTCTATAAAGCTGACTGACACTGTTTGCTCCATCCTGAAGATCCCTGAGACCCCAACATACCTAATGTACAGGCATACCCAAGCTGTTACCAGGAACTTTTCTACATGAATGACTGGTCTAGGCTCATGTTTCACAACATCCTAAAACCTCTCAAACAAGCAACATTTGGCCTCAGTGAGCCCTCAGCACCCATAACACTTGCTAAGTGGCCCTGGGCCTGGCACTAGCAGCAGCCAGCTTAGGTTCACTCTTGGCTTCACTTGGGAACCTCCAAGCCCAGCACAAGTAGCAGTCATTTCAGATTGTTCTATAGCTCATGCCGGGTGGCCCCAGGCAGAACACAGGTTGGGGCTGACATTGGCCTGCATCACCTGGGAAACCCCAGGGCCTGTGAAACCAGTGGACAGCTGTAGACCATGTTGGAGTACCACCACCCTGCTCCTCCACAGCTAATTTTTCATGAAGGGCACAAGTTTGTGGTCATTAGTCATAGCCAGTCCTCACAGCTGACTAGCCTGGGTAAATCTCTGCCATTGATTTAACAACAGCAATCAAGGCTCAACTAAAAGACAAGGTTCTACTCAGTCCACATAAAGGGCACACCTTTAATACCCAGCTTGGGTGATAGGGGTGTCTGTGCTACTGGAACCTATAGGACATCTGCTATATTAGGCCACACTAGCCAGACAGGGAGTCATAGAAGCTCACTAATACATAGAAACAAACACAGAGAGGCTACCAAAATAGGAGGCAAAGAAACATTGCCCGAATGAAAGGACAGACCAAAACTCAAAAAGAGAACTAAACAAAATGGAGATTAGCAATCTATCAGATGCCGAGTTCAAAACACTGTTTGTAAGGATGCTCAAGGAGCTTAGTGATGACCTCAGCAGCATAAAAAAGATCTAGTCAGAAATGTAGGATACACTAATTGAAATAAAGAATAATTTACAGGGAAATAGCAGTAGAATAAATAAAGCCAAGAATCAAATCAATGATTTGGAACATAAGGAAGCAAAAAACAACCAATCAGAACAAGAAGAAAAAAAAAGAATCCCCCTCCAAATGAGGATAGTGTAAGCGGCCTCTGAGACAATTTCAAGCATTCCAACATTAGCATCACTGGGGTCCAAGAAGGAGAAAGAGCAATAAATTGGAAATCTTTTGGAAAAATAGTAAAAAAAACCTTCCCTAATTTGGTGAATGAAATAGACATGCAAGTCTATGGAGCACAGAAAGGCCCAAACAAGGTGGATGCGAAGAGGCCCACCCCAAGATACATCAAAATTAAAATGCCAGAGGTTAAAGATAAATAGAGAATCTTAAAAACAGCAAGAGAAAAGCAGTTAGAACCACAAGGGAGTTGCCATAAGACTGTCAGCTGATTTCTCTAAAGAAACTTTGCAAGCTAGAAGGGATTGGCAAGAAATATTCAAAGTCATGAAAAGCAAGGACCTATGGCCAGGATTGCTTTATCCAGCAAAACTTTGATTCATTTATAATCAAAAGGAAGATAAAGAGCTTCCCAGACAAGAAAAATCTAAAGGAGTTATCCATCACCAAACCATTGTTATATGAAATGTTAAAGGGATTTATTTGAGAAGAAGAAGATCTAAACTATGAATAATAAAATGGCAATAAATACATATCTATCAACAATTGAATCTATAAACAAACTAAGGAAAAAAGAACAGAGCCAGAATCATGGATACAGAGAGCATTTTGATGGATGCCATATGGGAGGAGTGTGTGGGGAAATGGGTGAACAGGTAAGGGGATTAAGAGGTAGAAACTGGTAGTTACAGAATAGCCATGATGATGTAAAGTACAGTATAGGAAATTGAATAGCCAAAGAACCTATATGCATGACCCACTTACATGGACAATGGTGTAGTTATTGCCTGAGGGAGTAGGGGGTACTGGGTGGAGGGGGCAAAGGGTAAAAATAGCCTAATCAATAACAAATAATTAAAAATAAATTTTAAAAATAGAACTGCCTCAAATACAATGAGAAGGTTATTAGAGTGTGGCATCATGAAGCCACAGTTTGTGCAGTGAGGAATAAACATATTTCCTTACCTCTCAATCAGTGACTCCGTCATGCCCTAGAATCTTGACTGTGGTGTGTAGGTAGACCCTTCCAAGTTCCCAATGGCCAGGTAAATTACAGCAGCACCCTGAAAAACCACAGGTAAGTGTTAAAAGTTCATTAACAAAGATTGATATCGTTCAAAGTTTAAAATGAAAGTAGAGGCCATTGTACTTAAGTGTCACCCTTGCTTCTGTCTCTCTTTGCCTGTGTTCTGCCTATAGTGAGCCAAGAAATACAATCAATTGATATTATTTTTTTGAATAAAGGATTGTACATTTTAGAGAAAAAATGTATGATACAAAAGACTTTTTCTCTAAATTTTTCTGTAACCAAATTTGGGAAACAATTATCTTTATCCATTAATTTTTTTTCAATTTATTTATAACCCTAGCCCTGATGATAACCCTCAGAACAGGGGGTATAAAGACTATAGAAATTAATAATAAAAACAGGGAGTGATCACAAAATCTATCAGATGATGGCAGATGTCAAATTTTTAAATTTTTACTATAAAATATAATTAAAGGTACTTTGAATAGTCTTTTTAATTTTAATTACAGTAGAGAAAAAAGTTGATTTTGGATAAATAAAGATCCAGCTGAACTTAGCTGAATTGTCTATTTAATAAAAAAAATCACACACACACAGTCTATTGAGTAAGCTTTCATAACAAAATTGAAATACAGCATAATGGATATACTAGTTTTAAGTAATAATCTACCAGTAAAGGTTAAGACAGAAGTGAAGAGGAATGTTTATATGTATACATTTTTTTGCATTCTTTTTCCATGGGATATGCTGTTACACCCTTTACATACAGGAAAAGACATTAAGAAAAAAAGGAAACCAGTTCACTTCCTTTGAGATTCTAGACCCTCCCTAGGACATTATGTTCAGGTTCATGTTTTATTTGTACAGTAGGCTCAGTACTGTTAAGTTATGAAATCTTTGGACATTGTTTTTCATGAATCAAAAAACAAATCTATAGAGTAAGAGACCTAGAAGTGAACAGAATAGAAAACATTATGTTTTCATGTTTTTCAAAAGTCTACTAGAGATGTTTCATGAAATTCCAGTCCTAAATGCAACTTAGTTTGAAAGTGACAAATCAATGTGGCAGGTAAAAACAATCCAGTCCTTTTAACTTCTCATTTTTTCACATACACAAAAAAGAACTGCATGTATTGTCTAAACATTTTAAATGCCTCCAAAACATTACAATTCATCTATCTGATATGACATACCTTTTTTGTGTTTCATAATTTTTCTAAAATATTAAACATATATATGAAGACTATTGGTAAAATATTTTCTCAAAGTAGACAGAATAGTAATAAAATTGTAATACAAGACCCACAGAGAGACAGAAAGAAAAGCCTTAGATTCTGGGATCTCAAATGAGAACAAGCAAAAGTTATGGTCACTCTCATTTTAGACCGAAAATGCTTTGTTATTAATTGGGAGGAAAGTGATTATAAATATAGCACAGACATCATTCAACATTAAGATCCCCAAAATGACAGAAAGTATTTTAATTACAAACTCAGTATGTATTGCTTATATTCATTAAAAAAGCCAGGGAAGGGTTTTCAGGAACAACTCTAAAGGGCACATGGACAAAACCATAGGGGAGTGGAATCAGGGGAGGGATGTGGGGATGGCTGGGGTAGATGGGGAGTACTGAGGGGTAAATGCAGATAACTGTACTTGAACAACAATAAAATAATTTTTAAAAAAGCCAAATTGCAATTTTATTTTTACTTTATGAATTTTCCTTTTTGGTATTCAAACCCAGAGAAGGCATCATATTTCCACTCTGACTGCAAATTCACTAGTGCTGAGGGATACTTAATAGGTGCTTGTGGTGGTTTCAGGGTCAATTCAAAGAAAGTTGAAGACTTGGATGAGTCACAAAGCCAACATCTTTAAGTACAATGGAAAATGCTTTACATGCAGTGTGCATTTTTCTTATTTGGAGGATAAATATACTAAAATTCAAGAACACAGAAAATAATATCTGCTCTTCTAAGCAAAAGGTATACAGTAAATTGGGATAAAACATTAAGGTAAGAATCTTGATTCAATTTGAAGAATACATGTTTTACAAAGGAATAAATGCAAAAGAATGGTGGAATTCTCTTCTAATTCTCAGAATAGTGACAAGAATTTGTAGAAAAGATTTTAAATAAGAACTTATTGTTGCATTTAAAGCTTAACCAGATCCACAGACAATACTGTTTCTCAATGAAATGAACTAAAACTGAATAAAAAATAAAATGTTCAGGTGATATGGGTTCTCTTCCTTAAACCTGTTTCTCAGGAACTCCCCTCTTGAACTAAGAAAACAAGTAGGGTGAAACACTAAACAGAGAGTCAGAAACCTCAGGTTGCTGCTACTAACAATTCATTTGATTTCAGGCAGGTCACACACTTCAACTTCCAATCTCAGGAATGATGATGTGAGTGTTTATCTCCAAAGCCTCTTCTAGTGCTAATATTTAATGATCATTATTTCTTGGATGTTTCATATTTACCATAATAACAATGTTAACAAAAACAATATTAATAATTATAACAATACTAGATGAGAGAGGCATTGGAAAATGGTGGAAAGAACACAGCAATGGGAGTCAGGCGATGTAAGTTTGAATTACTTCCCTGTCAGTAGATTGTGGATTGATCTAGAATGAATCACCACTCCGGGTCTTAGTTTCTTTTTTACTTATTTTTTTCTTATATGGAGGAAAAGAATAATGCTTTCCAACTAAATTCTACATAACTCTAGGATTTCATGTAGGTGCTTTATGCAAAACCTTACACACACACATAAACACCTACATATATAATAGTTGAAAAGAAAAACAAAGCAACCTGCCTGACTAAATATGTATTTTTGTAGTTGTAATATGCCAGAGCCCATCAACACATTAGTTAGTGCTGTTGCATTACCTTCTTTCATATTGATCTCAAAAAAAAAGGCATGCCCTGTAATTTCTATTTGATCAGAAAATACCCTGAGATTTTTTAGGAATTTGGCTTTAAATATATATTCCTACAAATGCTTTTGTAATGAACCAGGTAGAAAGCAATTGCATGATTTCAAATATTTTATCAAACTGTTCCTTTGTTTTTACTGACTTTATAAAAAATTATAGACATTGAACTTTTAAAAGAAAGTGATACTAATAATATTACTTTTTATTTTATATATTAAAATTCTATAGAAAATTTTATGTGACTAAGGATTCATATTTTTTAAGCTTGACTATCTTGAATAAAGTGTTTTGTAAGTTTTCTCTTGCCTATCATTTTGGATAATTTTAAACAATTGGCAAAAAAAGAAATCTAAAAGTTTTCTTAAATTTGGCACAGAAGAAGCAATGTTTCTATTCTCTCTCCCATGTGGCTGCCTGCTGAATTTCTTCTAAGGCAGCTTTGAATGTAGAGAAATGTCATTGTAATCCTGGGAACGTCCTGACAAGAAGCACAAGTCTTTACTGATAAAGAATACTTTGCAATCCATAATGAATACTTTCATTCCAAGTAAATACTGTTCATTTCAAATGGTGGAGCTAGTCTCTTCTAGTGGAAACAAGAAGAGCTGACTGAAAGTCAGCCTTTCCTTGGGGAAGAAACATGCCCATCATGCCAAGGATGTTAGTGGGACAGATTCCCTTAGATGGCAAATACTGTCCTACACTGTTGTTTCACCAGGGAGAAATGGTATGATCTTTGCCTCCTTTAGCGCAATGAAACCGTCCTGCCTCATTTGTCTAAGGTTCTGTGCACTTTGTCCTATTAATGATTCTAACTATTAAGTAGGCAAATTATCATAAAATGGGAGACAAGGTTTAAGGTAGAATGGAAATAGAAGTGATCTAATTTCTATTATTTTATAAAAAAAATCAAAACTCTAATAGTGATATTAATATGAATTTAATGTTTTATCATATTAGTTTAGGACAAAATAGAGGCACTTAAATCAAATAAACAAAAAGAAAAACTAATGCCCAGGCCAGACGCTCAATTGGTTGGAAGGTCATCTCTACACCAAACGATCATGGGTTTGATTCCTGGTCAGGGCACATACCTAGGTTGCAAGTTTGAGCCCCAGTCAAAGCACGTGTAGGAGGCAACCAATCAATATTTCCCTCTCGCACTGATGTTTCTCTCTCTCTCTCTCTCCACTCCCCTTACCTTTCTCTCTTAAATCAATAAACATATCTTCAGGTGAGGATTTAAAAAATATAATAAAAAGAAACTAACAATTTATTTTCTCTTAAAAATAAGAAACCATAACATAGTGAAGAGCAAAAAATACATTTAAACATTTAAAATGAAGTAACATTACAGATAGAATGAAAGGGAATGAATAAAGCCAAACAATAATCTGATAAACTAAATTTTAAAAGTTAGGATTCAAAATTTCTAATTTTCATTTTGAGTTGTTTAATGAAATACTTAATTTTTAAAGATTATTTATGCCATGCTTATCTGAAACACACCTTCACATCTGCTACCCTATAAACAGCTTTACAAGGAGTTGTGTTTTTTGGTTGCCCTGGGATTAAGCCCTGAGGATGATTTCTGTCTCCAATCCATCTCTGTAAATATGAAACTGCAGTCAGGCTTTGCAAACCTAGGTCTCTATGAGAGCAGGCTGACTCAAAGTAAACCCAATGAACTTCAGGATGCTTTTATTCAATTTGTTTTGTTTGGTTCTTGGTATCCAGATTACCTTGACTGACATGATTCAGGCTGACATTTTCACTGAAGTTCTCACATAATTTTACCAGGCTTGAAAGCTAAAACATAGAAACATGAAGAAAAAGTGGTTATTGACCACAGTTCCAAGAATAGCCTTCTCGTTTACATGTAAATGAAAAAACAGAGGCAAATCACCTTTGTGATCTTGCATTATTCAATGTAGCTGTTCCAGTAAGAATTGAGAGGAGGCAAGTAAACACCTCATCAAACTCTAGAGGGGCAATCAGTGCAGAAAAGCTGCATCAAACATTATGTGATTGTTTTCCTCTTAATATCATCTGTTT